ATGTATGGTACTGAATTTAAAGATTCTGTACTAAAATATAAAGCAACAACTGAGGCTACTACTACTTCAGAAGACAAGGTAGTTCTACAACAAGAAGGCCTTTACGGTACACTTGGTGTGCATGGTATTGAAGCTGGAGTGATGTTTCACTTCTAATCTCTTGAATTGACTGTCATTCCAATGTGTGGCTTTAAATTGCATTTTGGAGTGGCAGTTTTTTTTATAGCCTAATGTACAAACTTAAGAAATATGTAGTATTGATTGTTGCGGCTGGTGTTGGCAGTAGATGTAATATTTCAATCCCTAAACAATACATAAAACTGGCAGGTGGGCCTGTTTTACTTCATGTAATTAAAAAATTTCTAGCTAACCAGTATATAGACTATGTAAGAGTGGTAATTAATAGAAACCACGAAAGTTTTTATAGGGATGTGGTGTCCTCAATTGTAAGTACTAAATTGATGAGCCCAGTGTATGGAGGAGTAAGTAGGCAAGATTCAGTTAGATTAGGTCTTGAAGGCCTACAGACTGATTATGTGATGATACACGATGCTTGTAGACCCTTTGTTTCACATACCTTAATAGAGAAATTAATTAAATCTATGAGCTGTGAGCATACAGGGGTTGTTCCTGTAATAGAGGTTGAAGATACTGTGTCGCTGGTGGATAGTGGTTCGATCAAATCTACAATCTGCAGAACGAAACTCAGGGCAATACAAACTCCTCAGATTTTTAATTTTGCGGCATTATTGTTATGTCATCAATTAACCAAAGAGAGTTTTACTGATGATTCTTCGCTGGTGATGGCATATAACAAGCATGTTGCAATTATTCAGGGTGAAAAAGGCAATTTTAAGTTAACTACAGGTGAGGATCTTAATATGGTAATTGCGGAGTCAAAGTATCGTGTTGGCAGTGGTTATGATATACATAGGTTTAAAAGCAGTGCTGAATGCTTGATTAAAATTTGTGGTGTAGAAGTTGAGAGTGAAATGGCAATAGAGGCTCATTCTGAGTGAAATGGCAATAGAGGCTCATTCTGATGGTGATGTTGCTATACATGCAATTGTTGATGCAATATTAGGAGCATTGGGATGTGGTGATATAGGAGAGCATTTTTCTCCTGATGATCCTCAATGGAAGAATTGTTATTCATCTTATTTTCTTAATTTTGCTGCTGAAAAAGCGCAAGAAAAGGGATATAGTATATCTAACTTGGATATTACCGTGGTGTGTGAAAAGCCTAAAATATCACCTTATAAAGCAGAAATGAGGAAATCTATAGCAAAGGTACTAAAAATTAGTGATGAGCTTGTAAACATTAAAGCAACTACAGCAGAGAAGTTAGGTTCCATAGGAAGAGCAGAAGGGATAGCAGCATATGCTACAGTATTATTGTATTCGTTCAAATAGACCTCTTTCGAAACTGATAGCAATGCATGAAAAGCATTCTATAATACTTCTACCATAAATAGCTTTCAAAAGAGGGCGCACTTTA